AGCAGCATGCAAGTTTGCTTCCTGTGGCGACTCCTGAAAAATCAGTTGAAAAACAAAATCATTGGATGTATAGGTACAACAAATTAATTTATGGAGTCAATGCATTTCAGAACAGCCGCCATGGCTGATTACCCTTAGCTGACACAAAATGGGCTAAACCTGAATGAATTTTACAGATATTGAGCTAAAACTTGTCTGACAGTCGGTCACAAAATATAATCAAAGACTACGAGAGATCTGAATGAGACTGAGCATAATGCTGTTTTCATGCTTCGACCAAAACAGCTACAACTCCATCATTCTCAATATAAGATGATCTTAATCTGCAACTCTGGCCTGAAAGGCAGCAGGAGAAGCTTTAAGGAAAGCTGAGCCTTTAATTATACACTTTGTCTGCTTTTAATTTGTGGTTCATGATATTGTGCCAGTGTTTGGTTGAGAGGTTCAGTATGCATTAGGCGTGTTGTTCTGGAACAGATATGGAAGTAGAAAATATTTCTCCTGCCTGATCTCTTATTCTCCTGAATATTTCATAAAATTCTTCTTGCTCTACACCCAGGGGCATTTCTTGTTTTTTTTACAGCAAGCTGTCGTTGCAGAAAGCTTCCTTTGAGTTCAGTTGATCGAACACGGTGATGCATATTTTCCTTCAGAGGAACTTGTTCTTGTGAACAGAATGAAGGACAGCTGTGAGTTAGTGAATAAAGAAAAAGTAACAAAGACTCTTGTTCTGGTCTGCATCATCATCATCGTCATATCCAGTGTTTCCCCTACCATTGTAAAAGGGCACCCCAACTACTGAACCCCCCCATTGGCACTGACACAGTGCTAAGCTAGTGCCTTCAGGCGCTTCAACTCTCTGTTGCCTAAGGACAATCCATCCATCCATTTATTTTATGAAAGAAAATTGTCTTCGACATTTTGATCGCTGTTATTTTGACAAATTAGTGCTGTTGTTTTGAAACGTGATGTAATGTGTATAATACACATCAATATATTTCACTCGTATTTTTTTTTTTTACTGTAAGCTTTTTTAATTTATTATCGTTGAAATGTATGCAGGAGTTCTGACACATCAACAGTTGTGTGCGCTCTGCAGAGCTGTCTGGAGACACTCCTGTATGTAAAACATGCACTGTCTCAGGGTGCACAGCTGAAGGTGGATGAAGACGCTCATCCCACGGGACATGCACTCTGCATCTCTGCTGGGCAGGAGCGTGTGTACAAGCTGGTGCGCATTGTGCGGCTGGAACATCCGCTCCACAGAACGTCTCCTCTCATTGTATTTTTAATAAATAATCAAAGTAAAAATGTGCAATGACTTTAGACTTTTATGGGTGGAGAGTTGCCGAATCTGAGCGGTCAAAATGAGAGAGTTCCCGGATCTTGTTCCGGCAGCACCTCATTATTATTTAATATACAGTGAGGAAAATAAGTATTTGAACACACTGCAACTTTGCAAGTTCTCCCACTTAGAAATCATGGAGGGGTCTGAAATTTTCATCTTAGGTGCATGTCCACTGTGAGAGACATAATCTTTAAAAAAAATCTGGAAATCACAATGTATGATTTTTTAATAATTTACTTGTGTGTTACTGCTGCAAATAAGTATTTGAACACCTGTGAAAATCAATGTTAATATTTGGTACAGTATCTTTGTTTGCAGTTACAGAGGTCAAAGGTTTCCTGTAGTTTTTCACCAGGTGTGCTCACACTGCAGCAGAGATTTTGGACCATTCCTCCACACACATCTTCTCTAGATCAGCAGGTTTCTGGGCTGTTGCTGAGAAACAGAGTTTGAACTCCCTCCAAAGATTTTCTATAGGGTTTAGGTCTGGAGACTGGCTAGTTCACTCCAGAACCTTGATATGCTTCTTAAAGAGCCACTCCTTGGTTCTCCTGGCTGTGTGCTTTGCATCATTGTCATGTTGGAAGACCCAGCCATGACCCATCTTCAATGCTCTGACTGAGGGAAGGAGGTTGTTCCCCAAAATATGTCACTACATGACCCCGGTCATCCTCTCCTTAATACGGTGCAGTCGTCCTGTCCCATGTGCAGAAAAACACCCCCAAAGCATGATGCTTCCACCGCCATGCTTCACAGTAGGGATGGTGTTTCTGGGATGGTATTCATCATTCTTCGTCCTCCAAACACGTCGAGTGGAATTAAGACCAAAAAATTCTATTTTGGTCTCATCTGACCACAGAACTTTCTCCCATGACTCCTCTGGATCATCCAAATGGTCATGGGCAAACTTAAGACGGGCCTGGACGTGTGCTGATTTAAGCAGGGGAACATTCCGTGCCATGCATGATTTTAAACTATGACGTCTTGGTGTATTACCCACAGTAACCATGGAAACAGTGGTGCCAGCTCTCTTCAGGTCATTGACCAGCTCCTCCCGTGTAGTTCTGGGCTGATTCCTCACCTTTCTTAGGATCAATGATACGCCACGAGGTGAGATCTTGCATGGAGCCCCAGTCGGAGGGAGATTGACAGTCATGTTTAGCTTCTTCCGTTTTCTAATAATTGATCCAACAGTTGATCTTTTTTCACCAAGCTGCTTGGCAATTGCCCCGTAGCCCTTTCCAGCCTAGTGGAGGTCTACAATGTTGTCTCTGGTGTCTTTGGACAGCTCTTTGGTCTTAGCCATGTTAGTAGTAGGAGTCTTACTGATTGTGCGGGGTGGACAGGTGTCTTTATGCAGCTAACAACCTCAAACAGGTGCTTCTAATTTAGAATAAGAAGTGGAGGTGGACTTTTTAGAGGCGGACTAACAGGTCTTTGAGGACCAGAATTGTTGCTGATTGGCAGCTGTTCAAATACTTATTTGCAGCAGTAACACACAAATAAATTATTTTAAAAAATCATACATTGTGATTTCCGGATTTTTTTTCCAGAGAAGAGATGTAAAATACTAAAAACAGGAACATGTCTGCACTGGTTTTTTCCCATGAACTTAGTAGAGGTTTGAATATCGAGATATATATCGTATATCGCGATTTATCTTAAAAATATTGAGATATTAATTTTGGTCCATATCATGCAGCCCTACTTACTATACAAGTGTATACTTTTTATTAATGGCGATTTCACATGTGAGCGACGCCGTTGTGATACTAACTGAGCTCAGTATAGCAGAGCTTTATGAAAATCCACATTTTACTGTACACTTTGGGGGAGGGGGGGTTCTCCAAAAAGAGTTACGGGTACTTTCTGTACACTTGTGAAAATGCTCACGATTATGATTGGCCCCTAACACTATTGTGAGTACTAAGAGATTTTGCAATATCGTTATTTAATGTTTTGCCATTAAGTATTTGGGGTAAACTCGGTCTGTGAGAAATGTACTGAACAAATACCTGGACCAGTTTCACTGAAACCTTCTGGAAATAATCACTAATTGTGCCTGTATGACTGATTACATTTTGGAGCAGTCTAATTAAAGATAGCTACTACAGCCAATTGACCTCAGAATAAATTAAAAACACAGTCATTTTATAGATATTGTACTAAAAACATGTCATTCACAATACAGAGTCTGCAGTGTTATTGTTGAGGGTTGTACTGGACCAAAACTTTAGCATTAATTGCTAGAGTCATCTCTGTTTGTTTGCAAAATATTTCATGACTTCTTGAACAAATTTTAATTATACTTTTAGAAAGTAATCACTGGATGAAGTCTACAACAATTTTACTTTTGGAGACAATCCAATTCAAGATGGTTGCCACAGCTAACTGCATTAGCCAACACAAAAATAGGAATAACGTCATTATTTTTACAAATATTTAGAATGGTAGTAGCAAGCTTTGACCAAAAGTGCTACAACTCTCATTATAAGATGATTTTAGTCTGTCATGAAAGGCGGCAGGTGATATGCATTCCTTCAACGATTGTTGAAACATTTAGTCAGGAAAAACTGTTTCACATGCACGCAGGCTACAGAATCAGATGTTCCACGACTGACAAACAGCTGACTGCCATTAGTTTCGCTCAGAGCAGGGCTTCATTAGAGGGTGCACCTTGCTCCCACAGTTTGCTTGTATATCCAGGTCAGTAAAAGCAAAAACAGTAAGAAACTAGTGTTGTCCACATGTAGAGTATTACAAATTAATTAATGTTTAAAAATCCATGTCTGACCACCGAGAGACACGAGTGAGTTTGACCTTAACAAGGCCTCATTTTCAGCTACCGGTTCTGAAGGGTCCAGTGAGCAAGAGGGTCTTTACAAAACTCCAGACTGGAATTTTTATGAAATTGTCAAAAGATCATTTTCAGCATACTAGTGGAGAAAATGCCTTTTATTGATTTTATTCCAAAAATTGCTTTAAAGAAATGAGTATTTTACCAACTGAACTGTGGAGTTTTTTATTTTTAATAAAGTCCTTTTAAGACTCGAAAGAAAAAATATTTTAAATTTTATATTTTGATTTCAAGCTGAAATACCTCTAAAAGACTGAGTATTGTGGAAAAAATATTAAAAAGTATTATTTTTAAGCAGGAAAGTACGAGGGTTGATTTTCCCCAGAGGAGCATGAATGGTCATAACGTTAAAGGACAAGGCTCAAGTTATTTTCTGTTCTAATCTCTGTTCTTTGTTCTGTTTGTATGTTCTGCAGGCTGTTCGTAATTCCTGGAACCTGTGGGAGATTGAACCAAACCTGAGAAAATAACATCCTCTCCTGCTCTGCCAGCTGTCCTTGAACCAGTCCGCCCAATGACGCAGGGGGCCCTCGGCTGGTCCATCTTTTAACTCGTTGTTCCGACAGCCTCCAGGTCTCTGCTGCTTGAAGGAGCATGTTGTCGATGCTCTCACTCTGCTCCATCATCTGGCTCAACCGGGGCATCAAGTTGAGGAAAGCACATTGGTCCAGCAACACCGGACAGGCAACACAGGCGTAGCAGCTTCAAAACGCCACCTTATCAACCTGTAAAAATGCTTTTAAGCTTCGGCTGACATTCTCACTCCCTCTTTCAATCCTCTGAACCACTGCACCAACTTGAGTGACTGGTTTCTGAGGACGTTCTCTACACAGAGGAACTCTTACTGCACCTGTTTTGAGTTTTGGAGTTCCATAAAACATGGCAGCAGAGGGATTCTACTACCGGGCACTCTACCCATTTACCAAGGACCAGGAAGAGGACCTGGATCTGCTGCCTGGGGACCTCCTGACAGTCGGCAGGGCCTCTCTGGTGTCAGTGGAGAACTATGAGGAGGGCTGTGAGGAGCATCCAGAGCGCCTGGGCTGGCTGCTCGGTTGCAACCAACGCACCAAGCAGAGAGGCGACTTCCCGGGGACATTTGTCCAGTATGTGGGCCCCATTAAAACGACTCCCCCATCAAGTCAGCCGAGGTCTCAGAGACCTCTCCCTGCTGTTCCTACTTTAGAAACAGCCCAAGGTAAGAGTCTGTTTGTGTTTTCTAATGGTATTTTCTTTAGCTGAGCCGTACATGTGCAGCGTTGATTGAATCTGACAACAGATAAGAAACTGTGCTTAGTAAAATTGTTTTTTTGGTCTTCCCCAGAAAAGGGAAGGCAGACAATAATGGTTGTGTACGTGTGTGTGTGTGTGTGTGTGTGTGTGTGTGTCCGCCTGTTTCCAAAGCATCTCATGAACCCCAGGACAAATTTGAATGCAACTTTCAGAAAGTAATTATTGGATGTACATCTACAGTTGACTAACCTTTGGAGTCGGCCTACTTCAAGATCGTTGCCAACTGACCTTAAAAAATCAACACAGAAAAGGCAACAACTCAGACAGTTTTACAAATATTGAGCAAAAATTACAAGTAGGCATGTGCTTGTATGAGCGTCTGCTAGTTTGATAACCTTAAGTAAAATTGCTATGATTTGACAGCATAGCAGTAAAAAAATCTATTAAAAATATATCATGCATATTTGCTTATATTTAAAAACAAATATACAATTGATATTTCTTTTCAAGCTTACATAATATCACGTATTGTCTAAATATGTTTACTGTTCACAAAAACGGGTTATATCATGTCATCTGGACAGCTTCTTTTTGGGAGAAACGTTTTGCCGTTCACATAAAAGACTTCATCAGTCTGAGGCCTGCCAACCAGATCTGTCTTATAAATAGCACCTCCTTGATGTGCTTCAAACCAGCCTGCTGTGGACTTCACAGAAACTGGCTTTACACATGCAAGAAGGGACCATCTGTCCAAAACAATCAATCAGACAATGACTACTGTTTGTTTTATTTTAGGTTGTGTTCTAACTGGAGAACGAGTCTTGTTCTTTGGGCCAGTGCCAATTTCTGTCCCTCATCACAGAGCGAAGAGGGGGAATTGGAAATACCATCCATCTGAGCATGTTGTGAGCATAACTTGAAAAATAAGTGAGGTATCAACTTCCATGTTGGTGTGTGGCTGCATCTAGACGTAAGAAATATTCCTTTTGAAAATAGTGTTCCCATGCCAAAATCCAAGATGGCCACCATCACATTTATGTAAACAGGCCACCCTGATCATTTAGTTTTTATATTACTTAAAAATATAATTTTCTCATATGATTAGGGTGTTCTGGTGGGGTGGCAGAAGATAAATCCATAATGTCCAAGGCCCCCAATGGCCACCCCCTGACTCCACCTTTGCACCTGAACATGGATAATATTGTTCCCTCCACTCGCCAGGATCCGTCACTCTGCTCTGCCTCAGACAGGCAACAAAACAAACGACCTTTAGTCTATACACTGTGTAATTCTACACATCTTGCACCAGAAACATTGTTTACTTGTATCCTCTCTTCAATTCCAGTTTAAAAAAATGCTCATTTTGAAAACTACAAGCGCTCAGCGACGGGGCACTGCAGCGTACCACTTGTTGATATTTGTACTGCTCTCACACCAAATTAGATTTTTCTGGACACATTTTTTCCTGAAAAACCTTCCTTTAGTTGTATAAAGAATGATTTCAGGTGCATCTATTTCTAATATTTTTATGTATTTTTATATTTAGGATCAAGGCTGTATTTTGATTTAATCACAACTATTTAGGATACATTTTAAACCAAAAATGAATTTAATACAATATGACCTGTAGTTAAAAACACTTCTAAATACAGTTTTTTCATGATACTAAGGATTTTGGATCCTCCAAATCACAGTTTCTCTGCGCCCGTCGAAGGCTGGATGTGTTGATAAAGTTCCCATCCGTCCGTTTGACCATCCGTACGTCCACGAACATTCTCTTGCCCATAACTTCTGATCTGCTCAAGATAATTTAATGAAACTTCATCCACATATGCATCGTCACTGGATGGAGTAGACTTTTGATTACCACAGCTTCAAGGTCAAAGTCACTGACCAAGGTTAAATGCTCTTCAAGGTTTTTGCTTGTCTTGGCCGTAGCTGTAGATTGCTGTGTTGCAGTATAATTGTTGACATAGTACAATGTGCATATTAGTGCTGTCATTTCTAACCTGGGCCCTAAGCTTGGCCCGTCCCGACCCAAATTTGGACCGGGCTGGGCCATAATAATGTGCTGGATGAGCGGGCCGAGTCAATGTTGGGCTTTTGATTGCGTCAGCGGATCAGCTGTGATCCAATTAATGACAATATGGCTTGCCATACAATCCAATTATATGGCAACATGGCTTGCCATACTTCACCAGCCACACACGGACATTTGACCGTGAGCTGAACAGCCTTGAAAGAGGTAAAAAGTTCAGTTAAGCTTCAGATGGGACTGTACTGCCAGGAAGCGATCCATCAGGCCAAATGGACGTTCATTCAGACGCTGCACTCAGCGGACGCGTGCGGCCGATGACCCAAACAAGTGAGATCCCAAAGCAGACATGTCAGAGCAGGGTCCGTGTCTGAACAATGCAGAATGCAGCAGAAGCAAGGATTTAATGCTCTTTGACGGCCATGAAAAGACAAACACCCCCTCAGCTCTGATCTTCTGCACCTTTTATTCAGCCGCACGTCCCTGACTGTTAATAACTATAAGCAGTCAAAGCTTAATTAAAAATGTTTTTTTTTTTTTTTTTATAGATTCAGACCTGTAATGACTGTTAATTCGTTGGGTTGGGTGGGGTTCGGAAATGATGGCTATGGGCTCGGTCGGATTTTTTGGGCCCAAATGCAACTCTAGTGCGTATGCAGTACTAATGTTTAGAATATTAGATTTGCCTATCTGCCCCACTTGCCATCACACATCTATTCACCTTATAGAACCATTCATCCAAATAGATGTTGATGTCAGCTATTTATTTGTTAGCAAAATATCTCGGGCTAACATCTGAAGTGGCAGTAGCTCAGACTCATTCACACAACACACATTCTGAGCGTGCCGATGTCACAATACTATGAGCTCACAAAAAACAGCTACAAATGTATCCATCCATCCATCCATCCGTCCGTCCGTCCGTCCGTCCGTCCGTCCATCCATCCATCCATCCCATCCATCCATCCATCCATCCATCCATCCATCACATTTACCCACTTCTTTCTTTTCGGGTCACGGGGGTCAATGGTGCCCATGTCCAACGGTCACTGTTCGAGAGGCATGGGACACCCTGGACAGGTCTCTGTCCATCACAGGGACACATGGAGACAAACGAGACAAACAACCATTCACACTCACACCTAGGGACAGTTTAGAGTTACTAATCAGTCTAACATGCATGTTTTTGGTCTGTGGGAGGAAACCGGAGTACCTGGAGAAAACCCACGCATGCACGGAGAGAACATGCAAACTCCATCCAGAAAGATCCTGGACCGGGATTTGACCGGCGGCCTTCTTGCTGAGAGTCAACAGCTCTACCAACTGCGCCACCGTGCTGCCCATCATTTTAATATAATATGATGCCAGTTTAAACTTTGGGATGAAAGGCAGTGGGTGCCAAAACAAACAAAAACTAGCCCCGGACCAGCTTTTCTGTTCATTTCTGTCTCTGTCCTGTCCTCTCAAACTGGCTGAGGCAGATGAACTCTCTTCCTGGTTCTGGTTCTTTTTTTCTGTTAAAAGGGAGTTGTTCCTTTCCACTGTTGCCCTTGTGCTGCACAGGATGAACAATTGAGATGGAAGTGAAGTTTTGAAACAATCTGCAGGCTTCCGTAGATAACTTGTACTACGTAGCATTTTATAAACTATGAAGATGTTGTCTCCTGAGATAAGACATTGGCTTTATAAATAAACTGAACTAAATTAAAACCTGACTGTGCAGTTTGACACAGAATATTTCTCATCTTGCAACAGAAATATGTGCTAACCAGAGATTTATTTATTTATCTTTTGTCCCTTGCCCCTCTCTGGCCTCACTTGAAATGCCTGCTGAAGTGAGCCACGGCTTGGCACTTCTGCAAAACTCCTCTCTTTATCTTTTATCTTTCTCATACCCCTCTGCTGCACCTCCCCTCCATCTTTCCTGTCCTCCTTCCTTTTCTGAAGCTTCTGTCCTCGTTTCACATGGACACAGCTGATACTGTCTCCAGACTGTGCTCGCAGAAAGGAGATGCCTCATCTTATTCTCCCTGCTCTCCTTCATCTACTGATAAAAAAAATGAAAAAAAAAACTTTCACAATGTCCACGGGGGTGGGGTTTGCTGAGACAGTACAGAAACTGAATAGAAAGGTTATGAAGAGGCTGAAAATAATTTTCTGTTTTTCAGTAAATGATGTAGCGTCCCAAAGAAAACTGTAAAATAGAAAAGTATTTTCAGCCTCTCCATAACCTTCCTTACAAAATTACTGATGGAGTTATATTAACCTCCAACCAGGGCTTAATTTGATCTGGGACCTGCCAGGACAGGATCCAGGAACTCTCTTATTTTGACAGGGTGTGTTCCGGTAACTGTTTGCTTTGATTCGGTAACGCTCTGGCTTATTAATAGTAAACTTATGAACAAAATCGACTGCCTTGAATAAATAAAACTTATATTGGATATGTAAACTGAAAATAATGACATAAACACTAATTTTAAACATAACAGCCACTTACGAGCTTCCTAATATCACAAATGAGCTGCCTCTTCAAGTAAGCATTTCAGCATCTACTCTTAAAAATATCTCCGCCCCTAAAAGTTCAGTCATGGGCAATTTAATTACCATAAAAACACAAAAATATAATTAAACATCTCAACTAAATTGCAAATCAGTTTTACAATTTAAGTAAGTCATTAATAAAAATTTTAATATTAAAAATATGAGAGAAATGTTTTAATGGGTAATCATGTCACGTACATCACGTATCAAAATAATTGTGCCAGTTTGTCAAAATAACAGCGATCATAATGTTGTAATGTCAGTCCAGTTTACTTTCATTAAAAAAAGTATTCTCATTGTATAGCTAATCAACAGAAAACTGAAGCACATGAAGGCAGTGGCTATGGAGATACTGGAGCAGGTGTGAGTGGTGGGGGTGAGTGTCGAGCTAACCAGGCTGATGTACCTGGGCAGGAGCCCACAGCCAGCCGTCATGAACAGCCTGAGGAGGAGCCAGGGGTTTAGATAAACATAGATGTTTAACAACTACAGTATTCAAAATTTTCTGTGGGAGGACCCCCAGACACCTCATGCCCCGGAGGGACATTAAATGTATAACAGATTATAAAGGAAGGAGCGAACAATGCCCCAAAGACCTATCTCTGCCTGATGCTTTCAACAAGTTCTATGTACGCTTCGAAGACCCGAACAGACCGTCCAGCACCAGACTCACCTCACCACCGGATGAAGTTTCTCAGCGTGACCTCAGCAGAAGTAAGGAGTATTCAGGAGGATTAACCCTCACAAAGCAACTGGCCCAGATTACACCCCCAGGAAGGTGCTGAAAGACTGTGCCGATCAGCTCTGCGATGTGCTGGCAGACATCTTTAACACCTCACTTACCCTGGCAACAGTTCCCACTTGCCTGAAGACCACAACCATCATCCCAGTCCTAAAAAGCTTTACAGTGACTGGTCTGAATGACTGAATGGCCAGTAGCCCTCACCCCGATAGTCGCTAAATGCTTCGAAAAACTGATCATGACCCACATCAAAACAACCATCAACATCAACAAGGACCCTCATCAGTATGCATACTGGGAGAATCATTCTACAGAGGACGCCATCTCCTCTGTGGTCCACACTGCTCTCACCACCTGGAGCAGGACTCGTACGTCCATATGCTCTTTGTGGACTTCACATCTGCCTTCAACACCATGATCCCCCAAACCTTGATGGACAAACTACTCACACTAGGACTAAGCCCCTCCATTTGCAACTGGGTCCTAGACTTCTTAACAAACAGACCACAGACTGTGAGGATCCACAACTTCTCCTCCTCCACAATAACCCTCAGCACTGGCTCCCCTCAGGGATGTGTGTTGAGCCCTCTCTTGTTCACTCTGCTCATGTAAGACTGTGCAGCTACCCATCCAGGCTGTCATATTGTAAAGTTTGCAGATGATACAGCGGTGGTGGGATGCATCACAAACGAGTCCAGCTACAGACAGGAGGTGGAAAATCTTGAGAGGTGGTGCAAGAAGAACAACTTCCACATCAGTGTGAAGAAGACGAAGGAGATGATTGTGGACTTCAGAAGGAACAACCCCCCACCCACCCCCACCCCCACCAAATATAGGAGGATCTGTGGTGGAAGTGGTCTCCAGCTACAAGTACTTGGGCATGCACCTGGATGACAACCTCAGCTGGAGCAACAACACCACCAGCCTGATCAAGAAAGCTCATCAGAGACTCTACTTCCTCAGACGGCTGAGATGAGCTGGTCTGGGAAGCTCAGTCCTCACCTCCTTCTACAGGTGTGCAGTGGAGAGCATCCTGTGCTCCAGCATCAACGTGGGGCATGGAGGCTGCACAGCTGCAGAAAGAAAAGCTTTGCAGAGAGTGATGAAGGCTGCACAGAAGTCTGTTGGAGTCGATCTCCCCAGAATAATCACTGTGGAAAAATCACATCATGTTGCTGCTGATCTGTTTCATGTTGCTGCTGATCTGTTTCATGTTGCTGCTGATCTGTTTCATGTTGCTGCTGATATGTTTCATGTTGATGTGTTCATGCGTGCTCATCTGCTCACACAGACTCATGTCCGTGCTGCTGTTCAACGTAATGTTTTTTTTGCTATTAGTGCTTATTGTATTTTTAGTTGATGTTTTTTTTAGTTCATATGTTAGATCTTATTACTGTTTTTCTTTTACATTTTATTGTTGGATGTAACTGGGACCCTGTGTACATAATTTCATTCCACCACATGTTCCATGTGTGGTGCGAAAAGAACCTTGAATCCTTGAAATGAAGCACTGCCCCCAAAACATTATTTTGTGATGTAGAAATTGTTGGATATTTTGCAAACTAAAACAAACACACTGACATGGGCAAGAACATTATCTCTCTGCCTTTGCCTTTCGGCCGCGGGCAATAATTATATGTTGGAGGCCCAAAGGGGTGTAAAAGATAACTGTGCGAGAGAGCACAAATGGCAGAGAGACATCGAGAGAAGTTGAGAGCCAGAGAGAGAGAATGTGGACGGAATGTGCTGACGAGACATTTCTCCTGTGAACACCCCAAATTAATAACCCGCAGAGAATCAGCCGAACCGGGCCAGGATCACGAGCCTGATGCCAAGTTCTAGCCAGGCCCCTCCAACACCCAGTGTAACAGCCCCCCAGCCCCTTCAACCTTGCCCCAACCCCAACCAGAGGCCAAAACAAGGCGTCGTCTGTCCTCTCTGGGCCGGGCTGAGCCGGGCCGGGCCTTGTACAGAGCTTTTGCTTGTTCAGTAGTTTTTTAATCCTTTATTGTCAGGAAAAAAGACAAACCGTAAGCAGAGCGGAGTGTAGGGCAGGAGGAAAGCAAGAGAGCAGATCTGAAACGACCAAAAGGAATAAAACTTCCACCTCTTTTTGTTCACGCTTCTCTTCTTCAATATGTTTGATTTTGTCTGTGGTGTTTGTTAAAACTATTTTTCTTTCACCGTTTTCTGCCTATAAAGTCATCTACCCATTATTATCCACCTGACAAGGGTCTTGCTCTTCTTTCAACTTTAATGCGGCCCGAACCGCAACGTGTCCCCCCCACAAATGTTATATCAAAACGATCGGCTCGGCACCGTGATGTGTGCCATTACTTTTATTGGCATTTAGAGTTACCATGGCAACAAATAACAGCTATTTTAAAGGATATTGAGCTGAAAGTTGGTGTAGTGGTAGCTGAGAGCAATGTCCAATAAATCCTGATTTCAAATAAATCATTCAAGATGGCCATCAAAGATGAATTTTAATGGCTTTAGCTCAGTTATTTTTACACATACAGAGCTGAAATTTGGATGTTCCTCATCACATTCTGAATCCAAATCAAAAATCCAAGATGGCCACCATAGCTTAAAGAAAATCATGCTATAACTGATTTTTTTTTGTTGTTGCCATTTTAAGCTGAATTTGAGCTCACCGTTTCAGCTACTGCTTTACTCATGTTACTGTTTTTCTAAGTTTAACATTTAGCATCTCTTCTTATTCTGATTGTTTTTAACTTCATCAAACCTGTGTCAGATTCTTCATGAAGTTTTTATTACTCAGAATTCACTGGAGTTTTTGCTAAAAAAATAAACTTCTGCAGTTTTTATGATGTGTCATTTGTTTGGTGAGTTTTTTTTAATGATTACTGAACAAAAGCTTAATTTTGATTCTCAAAGCCTAAAATGGATGTGCTTGTAAAACACATAAGTTTTAAAATGGACACCAAGCTCCTTCTAGAGCAGGCTCAGTTTTACTGAGCTCCTCCAAATCTCACCAGCTTCTTAAAACAAAATGTTCTCTGCGTCTCCAGCTGCTGCTTATCAGAGCAGTAGCCTAACACAGATTTGTCTTCTTGTTTCAGCTGCTTCCTTGCCAGACCTCAGTGAGCAGTTCACACCACCAGAGATGGCCCCCCCAGTCCTGGTGGGCCTGATCCAAGCCATAGAGAGGAGAGGTAAACCCCTGTCCAACAGCTGGCACAATCATCTGTCCTCTCACTGCCTGTCTGTCTGCATGTTGAGCTCCATTTAAAACTTTAAGACAGTTCTGACATGTGCACACGCACAGCTTCAGTTTAATTAGGTTCAGCCTCACAGAGAATCCTGCACAGGAGTTTGACTTACAGCACATTTTTATCAGCTGCTGCCAAAAGGCTGAGGCAGAAGAAGAGTTTTTACTCAGATAATTCTTACCTACTGGAATTTTATAAAGTGTGTGTTTGTACAGTGCCCTGAGATGACAAACTGAATTGAATTTTCTTTGTAATCACAACCCAGAGCAGTAAAATATTACCGTACTTTCCAGACTCTTGAGCACACCAGAATATAAGCCACGCCCACTAACTTTAAAAAGAAAATCAATTGTACGTATATAGGCCGCACTTGTGTATAAGACACAGGTGTCCACGTTGTAACATGAGATATTTACACAGATATATATTTTTAACTTTTAATTAAATATGCACAGGTAACATACACGAATATGTACAGTGATGAACACTGCCGGTAACACGGCTGGTAAAAAAATTAAATAAATACATTAGCCTACCAGGAAGTCATTGAACACCATCTTCATCTTCCTCCTGAGCACTAAAACCATTAAAGTCGTCTTCTTCAACAGCCTCAGAAAGACTTCATCACACACGTCCTCAGTCTCTGTTTCGTTGTTGCTTTCAGCATCACTTTTATCTCGAGGCAAATTTGTCCTTGAGCTTGTGTTGTCCTCTTCATCACACAGCTGCCTTTGAAACACGGTGGTGATAGTTCTTCACCCTGCTCCTCTGTCAGGATCCACTGTCAGGATCCACTGACATGATCCACTGTCAGGATCCACTGTCAGGATCCACTGGCATGATCCACTGACAGGATCCACTGACAGGATCCACTGACAGGATCCACTGACAGGATCCACTGTCATGATCCACTGACAGGATCCACTAACAGGATCCACCGTCAGGATCCACTGCCAAGATCCACTGTCAGGATCCACTGATATGATCCACTGATGGGATCCACTGGTATGATCCACTGTTGGGATCCACTGACATGATCCACTGTTGGGATCCACTGACAGGATCCACTGACAGGATCCACTGACACGATCCACTGTCAAGATCCACTGTCGGGATCCACTGTCAGGATCCACTGACAGGATCCACTGTCAGGATCCACTGACAGAGTTGATCAGAAGTTGCTCTGTGCATGCAGACAGTTTTCTCACCGCCAGTCATCCAAGCCTCCACCGAGCTCAGAGTGCCACATTAATGCACGATTCACATTTGAGTGGCTGAAAATAATTTGTTGTGCCCCCCAGGGAGGGGGGAAACCAAGTTTCATTGGTCCAATCTGACCTGTTCAGTAATTTCATTGATCAGATTTTTTTATTTCGACCTTTTATTTATATGGGTAGTCTCACTGAGTCACGAGGACACACCCCCACAGGACAGACATGTGTTGGACAGCTGTGTGAGTGCCGGGGTGTGACGAAGCTAAATGCTTTGGTGGCAAGAAACTCGTTAACCCGTTCAAAAATTTTAAAAAATCCATAAATTAGCAGCAGCATTGTATAAGCTGCATTATTCAAAGCGTGTGAAAAAAGTAGTGACTTATGGTCCTGAAATTACGGTAATGTTGATTTTTATTATTATTTTTACCAAGCTTTGACAGTGTTTACCTCTAAATGACAGAAATGTGCAGGAACTTTGTGAAGCAGTTAAAGCTGGATTTATGCTCCACGAGACGTGAAGAACTCTGCTCTCGCTGACGCAGTTGAGCTTTGAGAAGTGCACCAGGTTCACGCAGAACTTTTCTCACAGGGTTCTGAGTCAACAGTTGTGTGATTGGTCAGAACTTTTTATGTGCGTGTTTACGCAGAAAAGCAGGTGAACTGCAACGCTCTCAGCTCGCTGCAGCTGCTCCACTGGGACACAGATGTCTGAGGCTGTCAGAAAATAACACCGTCTTTACAGATATTTCAGCAGAACTTATAAGTACAGTATACTAATAAAGATAGTCTTATAAAGATAATTAAATAAATCTTATAAAGGTAGTCAAAGAGGTTGGGAATGGAGATGAGCATGGAGTAGCCAGCATGGCGACACAGGCGGCTCTTCGAGGCTGTGCTAGCTGTGTGGTTGTGTGCCTCTCCTGGGTGTAGGGACACGGTGTGCACTTGTTATTGTGCACCGTCGGTCGAAAGCAATGGCCGTCTCTCCATGACAAATTTGCGTGTGCCAAATGGTGTTTACGGTCTCTGTCTGTATAGTAAAAATGTCTGGTCTTGGTATGATTTGTAATGTAATGTATTTTCTGTGATCATCATTCATTCATTCAACCTTTATTTAAACAGATAAGTCACATTGAGCCTCAAAGACTTATTTACAAGTGAGACCTGTTTGGTCAGACAATAAGGGTGCGTTCACACCAGCCCTGTTTAGTCCGCTTTAATCGAACTCTAGCCCGTTTTTCTAGGAAGTCCGGTTCATTTAGGGAGGTGTGAACACGCCATCGAACTCTGTCACGGAACAAAACCTAGGTCTCGGTCCGGTAGAAGAGAACTCCAGAGCGGTTCGAGTGCAGTGTGAATGTAAACAGACCCGGCCCCGCTCCACAAGCAAGAAGTGCAGTACAGCACAGGGCAAACAAACACGCATTTCTCTGACCTCATATGGAGCCGTCAGCTGCCTTGTGTGAAAAACAATATTCTCCATGGTCTTCTGTCTCATCTTCTGCTCATGCTGGGCTAATTTTTGAAAAATGACAAAATATAACTCCTAAAACTGCTAAAACTTGACGCCACTCCGTTTTTGTTTTTACCAAATCTTTAAAAAAAGTGAAGAACAGACCAAGTTAAAATGTAAGTAGATCTCAGCCCTTTCTGTTTACTATGTAGTACCCCACTTAGTTTTATGCTACCAATATTGAATTTACTTCATACAACTAAACTCAGTATGAATCTGAACTAATGAAACAATTTGTCCACTAGTTAAAGGGTACGATTTCAACTGCAGATTTTGCCTAATGACCTATTTTTGTCTTTGTCAGGTCTGGACAGCAAGACGTTGTACAGGACATTCATCCCCACGGGCGTGGACAGCTCAGAGTACACCCTGAGTTCAGGTGAGTAAAATGGAGTCACTTTATGTTTGTGTTTCATATCACACAGGATTTGTTATTCAGCCTGCTTGTTCTTGTTTATATGCATTCATTATTTCTGTTCTTTGGTCTCATTAAAATAATACCAGCCTGAGCCGTAGTCTTGGCAGTGAATCTGAACATTCATATATTTACTTTGTACCAAAGTAAAATATTGTATCTGAGAAGCATTAATCAGATTTTTTTTCTGCAGGAGAGCTAGAAAGCTCATTTGTATCCATTTGCCTGAAATAAAAAAACAACTGAAGCATAACCATAATATTAAACTTGATCCATCTGTATCTGCTTCTTCCTTTCTGGGTCGCAGAGGTCACTGGTGCACATGTCCACTGGTGCACATATCCACTGGTGCACATATCCACTGGTGCACATATCCACTGGTGCACATATCCACTGGTGCACATATCCACTGGTGCACATGTCCACTGGTGCATGTCATGTGTACCCTGCCTGTACAGCCTGGACAGGTCTCCAGTCCATCACAGGGACACATAGAGACAAACGAGACAAACAACCATTCACTCTCACACCTAGGAACAATTTAGAGTTACCAGTCAGCCTAACATGCAGGTTTTTGATCTGTGGGAGGAAACTGGAGTACCTAGAGAAAACTCGTGCATGCACGGAGAAAACATGCAAACTCCACTCGGAAAGGTCCCTGGCTGGGATTTGGTCCCGCGACTGTCTCATTGAGAGGCAGCAGCTCTACCAACTGCACCACCGTGTCGCCCTTAAATCAACTTCATTTTCTGTAACTGAATAATTATTGGAGCTTAAAAGTGAAGGGTCACTGAATCTGTTATGATTCACATGTTCCTGTGGTCATTTGTCAGAATTTTAGTTATTTTCTCCCATACAGAAGGCAAACATGTTATTATTATTATTTTTTTATTTTTATTTTTTATTATTTTTTTATTTTTTATTATTAGGGCAGCATGGTGGCTCAGTTGGTAGAGCTGCTGCCTCTCAGCGAGCAGGTCCTTGGTTCAAACCCCGGTCCGGGGGCCTTTCTGGGTGGAGTTTGCATGTTCTCTCTGTGCATGCGTGGATTTTCTCCAGGTACTCCAGTTTCCTCCCACAGTCCAAAAACATGCATGTTAGGCTGATTGGTAACAGGTGTGAGTGAGAGAGTGAATGGTTGTTTGTCTTGTTTGTCTCTCTGTGTCCCTGTGATGGACTGGAGACATGTCCAGGGTGTCCCCCGCCTCTCACACAGTGACTGCTGGACATGAGCACCAGTGACCCCCCACGACCCGAAAAGGAAGAAGTGGGTAAAAGACAATGGATGGATGGATTATTATTGTTGTTGTTGTTGTTGTTGTGTCCATATGTACATCCATAAACTTTTTCGTGTCCCGCCCACACCACCTGAACCGCTCAAGATATAATAATGAAACGATACACATATGCAGGGTCACTACACAGAGTGTCAGGTGCACTTTCATCACCCTGGATCCAAGGTCAAGGTCACAGATCAAGGTCAAATGTTATATAAGGTCTTTGCTTGTTCAGACCATAATTTCTGATCCACTTAAGATAATTTAACAAAACTTGATGCACTTTTGTATCACCACTGCCTGGTATGTTGTGTACACTTTTCATCACCCCAGCTCTAAGGTCAAGTCTTATACAAGGCCTTTGTTAGTTTGGGCCTTTGATATAGATTGCTGTTTTGTGTTATAATAGTTTGTCAACAGACATGTAATGCACCATACAATGTAGCCTTGCTGACTTAAGTTTATTTATTTTATGATTCTAGAGAGTGATCTTACTCAGGATGTGGGTCACCTGTCTGAAAGCATCCTGTGCTATCTGAGAGACCTCCCATCACCCGTCATCCCTGCATCTATCTACTCCCATCTACAGCAGCAGCTCCACCAGCAGTCGGCAGGTGAGTCGAGTCTCATGTGGAGGTGCATAATGTTACTGCAGTCACTGGACAGTAGTGTCTTCTGGAGAATCTTTTAACATTTTATTTATTTATTGTTGTAATAATTCGTCAGCAGATCTTTAAATACACAAATTAAAGATTTTCCTATGATACTGTTCTCTGTTTTTAGAAGCACCTGTGATTTTTTTTTTTACTGCCTTAACCAAGGATTTAGAATAGAACCAGCCTTTATTGTCCCACGGATGGGAAATTCCAGTGTATCAGCAGCAACAGATAAAAAGAAAAAAAAGTTTGGAGCAGTGATGGTTGTAGAGTCTAACAGCTGCTGGGAGGAAGGACCTGCGGTAACGCTCCTTTGTGCATTTAGGATGCAGTAATCTGTCACTGAACGAGCTCTCCAGTTCAGCAACAGCTTCATGCATGGGGTGGGAGACGTTGTCCAGCAATGATGTTATTTTAGCTAGTGTCCTTCTGTCTCCCACCACCTGCACTGGGTCGAGGGGGCGTCCAAGCACCGATCTTGTTGAGCTTATCTAGCTTCTTCTCAGCTGATGATAAGCTGCTGCTCCAACACACAACACCATAGAAGATGGCTGATGCCACTACCGAGTCAAAGAAGGTCTTCAGGAGCACCCCCTGCACTCCAAAAGACCTCAGTCTCCTCAGCAGGTAGAGTTTGCTCTGACTCTTCCTGTAAAGTGCATCAGTGTTGTGAGACCAGTCCAGTTTATTGTTCAGGTGAACACCCAGGTACTTGTAAGAGTCCACAATCTCGATGTCCACTCCCTGGATGTTCACCGGGGCTAGTGAGGTGGACCTGCACCTGTGGAAATCCACCACCAGCTCCTTAGTTTTAGCAGCGTTGATCAGGAAGTGGTTCTGCTGGCACCAGTCCACAAAGTCTTGAGTCCGCTGTCTGTACTCTGAGTCGTCCTCACCTGTGATGAGGCAGACTATGGCAGAGTCATCAGAAAACTTTTGCAGATGGCAGTGTGGGGAGTCGATGGTGAAGTCTGCAGTGTAGAGGGTGAAGAGGAACAGTGCCAGCACCGTTCCCTGTGGGACCCCCGTACTGCAGACCAGCCTGTCAGAGACACAGCCCTGTGTCCTCGCATACTGTGGGCGTCCAGTGAGGTAATCCAGTATCCACTGGGACATGTGGTGATCCACTCCTGATAATTCCAGCTTGTCCTGCAGAAGTCCTGGCTGGATGGTGTTGAAAGCACTGGAGAAATCAAAGAACATGATCCTCACAGTGCTTCCAGGTTTCTCCAGGTGGGTCAGAGCTTGGTGCCTGAGGTAGATGATGGCGTCATCCACCCCGATGCCAGGCCGGTAGGCAAACTGCAATAGATCTAATGAAGACCTCACCAGGTGGCGCAAATGGTTGAGGACCAGCCTCTCGAGGGTCTTCATCAAATGTGAGGTCAGAGCCACCGGCCTGTAGTTACTGAGGTCCTTTGGATGTTTGGTTTTTGGTACCGGTACCACGCAGGAGGTCTTCCACAGTTGTGGTACTTTCCCCAGCTTCAGGCTCAGATTGAACGTAAATCCCATGACTTAAGTTTTAAGACAGGGATAGTCAGTATATCAATTTATTTTACTTTATTTATATAGCACCAATTTGCAACAAAAATCATCCCAGGACACCATACAGTCAAAATCATACATCCGAGTTCAAAACCAACCATAGACTATTGAAATAAAACAATCACATTCAGGATCTTACAAAAGAACGTTTTATAAAAGGTTGTTGATCCTGAAATCTCAACAGATTCCCCATCCTGAGCAGCCCGTTGGCGACAGTGGAAAGGAAAGACTGTCTTTTAACGGGAATAAACCTTTAGCAGAACCAGGACGAGTGGCCATCTGCGCCGGCCAGCTGCCTTATAGAAGATAAGGAAAGAGACGGACAGTGCTAGGACAGATGCACTGACACTCACATTTGGACTCTTTTGAACAACCTCAAAGGCGTTAAAATACCTTGAAACTAACAAAAGTAATCAGAATACCTGACCATAGGAACATGTTTAACTCCAGTTCAAGCAAAGGTCTCACACAATGAGTAACACTTGGACTATGTGTTGTAGAAGGTCTGACACAATTAATTTCAGTTAAATATCTGTAAAACTAACTGAGTTATAGGCATTTCTGTGTTTTTAAGGCCAGTTGGCTGTGGTAGCCATCTTGATTCAAGTTAACTCCGAAAGGCTATTAGTTGTAGATTTACATGCATTGATTTATTTTCTGCAAATTTTATTTAAATCCATCCTGTGGTTCACAAGATATAATGCTAATAAGTGCTCAAATGGGCAAAGGCAACATTATCTACCTTTACATTGTGGTGGCGGGCAATACAAATGCATGTGCATGCTTCCTTCAGCTTCTGTAATCGCATGCAAATCATTTGTAACCATGTGTTCAAGAAAGAAAAACACAAAAGTCACTGAAATAACTTAAAACTGGATAAAGTACTTATAAGGCAAAAACACTTAAAGTCAACTAATAAAAATCAGTCATTGCTTTAGAATTTTGGTTCAACAGAATAAAAAAACATGAACATTGTAATAAACATCAGAATCACCTTTTTAGAGACTGAAACGTTGTCTCTGTGCAGTTTGGTGTCATGGTGTGTACCACATTAAACACAAACCACAGAAAGATAAGAACAGCGTAGCCTTAGGACCTTAAAATAAAATGTAAGCAGCATGTTAAAGGTTAAGGCATAAGACCATCTCCAAGCAGCTTGATGGTCCCGTGAGAACTGCTGCTCAGATTATTCACAAGTTTAAGGTTCACAGGAGGACTGGGGACAACCTCCCTGGATGGCTGCAAGAAGAAAACTGATGAGAAACTGAAGAGACCGATAACACAAATGAGTCCAGAACAGAAAGACAAAGACACTAGAGTTGAACACTAAGAGTTGAACTTCAAGGTCAAAGGTCATCAGGGTCAGATTGCACAGTCGGTCACTGTTTGAGTCAAAGTGAATGTAATGGAGGAAGTTTGAGATGGACACCAAGTCATGAAAAAACTAAACAGGGATTTTCCTAAATGCTTTTTGACAAGTCACAAAGCTTGCAAGAGAATGACCTTCAGATTAGACAAAACTGAAGATTATTTTGCAACAGGTCCCATCAGATCTATGTTCACAGCCTCAAAACCAAAGCACCAAGAAGAAAAGAACACGGTACCTAGAGTAAAACATGGAGGAGGCTCGGTTCTCTTATGGGGCTGCTTTGCTGCATCTGACAGGGGGTGTCTTGACTGTTCAGGGTGAAATGAATCATTCCTTGACCAATTTCTTTACATGGCTCTTTAATGGATCCTCTTTGGGATTGTTTAAATCAATTTCCTAGATGGAGCTGTTTCTGGTAGCCATGACAGAGAGATAAGTCTGTCCGTTGAGAACTCCACTTCCATCCCCGTCCACCACCGCCTCACCCTGCAGTACCTCCTGACACACCTGGACAAGGTTGCCCAGGCTCAGGCCAGCAATGACCTGGACATGCACACTTTGGGAAAGATCTTTGGGCCCCTCCTGGTTCGGACGAGCCCCTCCATCTCTGGGTAAGATGTTTTCATCCTTGAACTGATCCTTGTGATCATCTGTGTGTTGAGTTTGGCTTTGAAAGTGATAATGAAATGTGTTCAAGTGGTTGTTTCACACTGCTGATTGATTGATTGATTGACTGTCAGGTTGTCACTGGATGAGGATTTCCCCTCCTTGGTGGTAGAAAGGCTGCTGATAGAGAGAACTCTTCAACAAGCCTGTCTGCCTCCAGGTAAGTCGTCTTGTTTTTAAGATGATTCAAACTGAACCAGTTTGAATGAAACGTTTTTGTTCGTTATGTGTATGTTTGTGTGCTTTTTAGTTCCCCCAGTAAAGCCAGTCAAGTCAAAAATGACACCATCAGCCGTGACGGACTCGAACAGCCTGCTGAACGATGCTGAGTGGTACTGGGGAGATATTTCTAGGTAAACTATTTAAATAGACTTTTGTGGTTCTAGACTGTGATTGTGTTTAGGTGATTTGTAAATATGCTGCTTTCTGTTCAGAGAGGAGGTGAATGAAAAGCTACGAGACACTCCTGATGGCACCTTTCTGGTCCGAGACGCCTCCAGTAAACTGGAGGGGGAGTTCACGCTCACCCTCAGGTAAAGCCACAGTGGGAACAGAAAACCAACATGGAACTAGAGAGATTTTATTTTCTGCTAAAACGATGTGTTTAGACTTGAATGACATGAAATCTGATGAGCAGTGAGTGAAGTGAATTGTTAAAGGCCAGCACCCACCAGGTGCAGGAGTGTGGTGGTCTGTATGCTAATCCTCTCTCTCCTCTTCTGAAACAAAGAATCCAATTTCTCATCAAAGTCCTCCCTCAGACGGTGTTTCTCCATCTTCTCTGCCTTTGAGCTCCACCTCAAACAGAAGCCGCAGCGTCACAATCTCATTGTTTTGACTCAAACACTGAAAGTGACTGAACTAAACTACACCCCAACTGTAAAATCCAATCACGCTGTCACAAATCTCTCACGTGTCATTACACACTCCTGTTCTGTATCGCTGCCGAACGTCCTTCAACTTCCACGTCTTTTTCTTCCCGTAGATTTTTTTGCTTCTTGATAACTTCAGGCCTCAGTCAGTCGGTTGATTGTTCAGTGTGTGTGTGTGTGTGTGTGTGTGTGTGTGTGTGTGTGTGTGTGTG